CTCTGTGCGGAAGTCAGGCCATAAGCACATACTCGCTAGCAGGTGGCCAGTGGAATACGCCTGCTTCAAGAAGAGAAAGCGGCCACCAGTTTCCAAGTCTTCCATATGTTCCAGGTCCTCCTGGCTTCCGAGGAAGAGGATCCGTCGTGGAATGTGACAACACCCTCTTTCTAATTGGAGGAGAGTACAGCAGGTGCCTTCGGTTGCGTGATGGGCGTTGGGAACAGGACTGGTGGCCTGAGATTGACCTGACATTCGGTACTGCGTGTGCACTCTCTGCTGACAGTATCGCAATGTTCAAATTCCATAACGGGTGGAGTTGCACCGTGCGTCACTTGCCATCATCGAAGGAGTACAATCTGATAGTGCCCAGCTGGAGCATCATGACTGCACTCTTCAGTTCGAATTCGCATAGTGAGCCCTCCATGGCTGTCTTCCAGGAAGCCCTGGTACTCTCCCTGGGCTCTCAGGGAGTTTTCACGCTCGACATGAGAGCCTTCCAGCACTGAATTCGAGGTCAGCTTGCACTGCAAGCGTGTGCCAAGCTGTCCGGCCATGCGCGTTCCTGATTGACGGCAGCGCGGGCTGTGTGCCGCAACACATGCGAATGGCATGAGCACGAAAAAATGCTTGATGGCCAGTTGGCGGCCGCACATTTGCCGTACCATGCCTGCATGTGTAATGCACTTCTGCAGCAATGTACAATACACCGCTCTGCTCCGTCTAAAGCAATCCAGTAATTTTGCGTGTGTATCTTGTGTACGAAAAAGCAACTGCTCGTTCTTCTGTCTGTGAATCTTCAATCTTGTGTACATACTTACTTATGGTATTCCTCACGGTTGATCTGCTGTTGGCAATGTTTATAATGCAAATGATGATCGTACAACTGCAGAGCTGTCAATGGATGCTCTCGTACTACATCTCGCACGTGTATTGTGTTTACCATTCGTACAGGTACATTGTATATTCTGTTGCCCCGCACCCAGACTGTGCTAAACAGAAGTACGTTTCCAACGCTCTTCATTTCAATCGAATTTCCATTTGAACAGTAGGCTGCCACAATACAATATCATGCACAGGCTACAGCAGCACTACATAACTGCTGTGATTCCCCTGACCTTTCCCTGCATTCCAGCTTTTGATTATGCATTCATCTCTATGCTAGTTTTTAGTATTTGCAGAGTCCCTGGTGGCATGGGCTTATTCAAGAGGATGTCTGTTAGCATCCTATGCTAAGAGGAGCTTAAGGCAGAGTTCTCTTTCTCTTTTCAAATCCCTCAACCGATTAATACTGCTAGAGAAGTTTTGCGCTGTTCTTCCCTGCGGCATATTGGTGTTCTACCAATCAAATTACGAGCAAGAACCAGTGCGTTTTATGGCAAATTCTTCTGTCTTTGGTTGATTTAAATTGGCCACAACATTATTGTGTGCTGGTGTGCTATGATCATGCCAGTCTCGAAGTTTTGTAGGGGTCCGTGGATGAGGCATGTTCTGCAGGACATCCCGGGCATTGAATACTTTATCTTTTTTGTCTCGTGTTGATATCCGCTTCGTGAGTTCAATACATCGCTGATGAGACGTGATGTGTCCAGCTTTTGCATAATACGAATCAATAATTCCGGATTCATTACTGTGCCTATGGCATAAACCACACAAACTCTCCAAAGCAAGACTGTAGTGCACACATAGTTTTGTTCTGAACACGTATCAATGACAACCTATGCCCGGTCACATACTAAGTAGGCCCTGCAAACGAAGCAGATTCACTCTTCAAGCCCTCCCCGCTGGATTCACATTCATCGTACTCGAGCGGTGCGAAAGCCTCGAGCAATGATCTCCGCATGCATTGGCGGGCCACACACCACTGGGTCATGGGCCACACACCACTGGGCCACACACCACTGGGCCACATACCACTGGGTCACACACCATTGGGTCACACGCCAATGGGTCACACACCACTGGGCCACACACCACTGGGTCACACACCACTGGGTCACACAACACTAGGCCACACACCGCTGGGCCACACACCACTGGGTCACACAACACTAGGCCACACACCGCTGGGCCACACACCACTGGGTCACACACCACTGGGTCACACAACACTAGGCCACACACCGCTGGGCCACACACCATTGGGCCAGTTGCACATGCCCAGCGCTTTGTGTGGATGATTCCGGAAGAAAAACTGTAAAAATGTGGTACTATATCTGGTATGCTTCGTGAATGTTTGGACGTGGAAAAAGAAATGGAGCAGGATTCAAGGAAGTGCCTGCCATAAGGTTTGTATGAGAATTTTCAAGGTTCACTTGAGGCTGAGTTATCAGCATGTGGCCTACTGGTTTTGAGGGCATGGAAACGGCTAAGGCTACCGTGCCCGCATACCCTCCTAGGTCTAGTCACCAGGAAGGTGCCAGGCTTGCATTCTTGAATTCCACATAATTATGTGGAAAGCCGGCAAAAGTAAAATGGCGGTATTTTACTACTCCAAGGTGGACTGAAGGGTGGGTCATTCTGCTGAAGACTGAAGTGCTGCATTAGATTAACACTACATAGTACGGTCATGGCCAAAGAAATCCGAACCACTTACCGAAAGCAGTGTCAAGGCTCATACGGCCACTCAGGCCCTCAGGTCGGTTTTCGGAACGTGCATGATGTAATTGAAATGGAAAAGTAGCGCTACTTTTGGACTCCCTGGTCGGATTTCTTTGACCACGACTGTACTTCAGTAGCTGGAACAGCAGCACGTGCACGCACACCCACACATACATGTACATACTATGATACATACACACACACATACGCACACACATACGCACACACACACGCACACACATACACACACACACACATACACACACACACACACACACACATACGCACGCACACAAGCACACACACACACACACACACACACACACAGATGCACACACACACGTGAACACACAATACAATACAATAATGCCCATCCGGAGATGATGGCAGGTCCTGAAAGGACCGACAGTGTTTCAGTCACACGGAACAGAACTTCGAGTGGCGAGTGAGGTCCTGGCGACGGCAAAAATCTCGGCTGCAGTGGCACCTGAAATCCCGAGACACAGGTTCAGGCGGCTGGATGGTGTTGCAGGCCAGTCTCCACGCACGGCAGTCCTCGGCTAGGCTGTACCAGTCATTGATGTGGCGTGCACACACACACACACACACACGTGCACACACACACACACACGCACACACACACACACACACACACACACACACACACACACACACGTGCACACACACACACACACACACACACTTCAGAAGTACGCACGCACACACATGCACGCATGCACACACATGCAGGCACGCTCGCACACTTTGAACCTTGAAACTGCCACCTAAAGGTGATGCAGTGCCTCAAAGAGGCAAGGAGGGCAGAGTTACTTCTTGTATTTAGGTTGAGCCAGGTACTGGAGACGTGTGAAATTCCAAGAGCAGGTCGGGCATGGGATGGTGCGGCGCTCGGAGCCAGAGCTGCATGTTCTGCGATTGCAGTTGTGCTGGCGGTGCCCTGCTTTGCTCTGGAAACATCATCGGTCACAGGTGTGACAGTGGTACTGACATTGGCTGCAATCAGGTGGGTGAGGTGCAACTATCTCCGGAACTGGAGCGTCACCAAGGCTTGGAGAGCAGCTGTGCACTGCAAATCCACCTCGGCTAGCAAACCGGCGATGGCACGTTTCGTACAACACAGCACCGGACTGTTCATGGATCGCCTTCAGCCGCTCTTCCCTGCATTTGTGCCGACGAAGTCCGCTTTCACTGGCGAAGAGCCGCTCACAGATCGCACAACATACGGACTTGGTTGTCGTTTCAAGGCGTAAGCGCCGTGCAACAATGGCATCCGAGATGGACTGGATCCACTCGCCACGTTCAGCTACGCACACACACACACCCACACCCACACACACACACCCACACACACCCACCCACACACACCCACACCCACACCCACACACACCCACACACACACGCGCGCGCACGCGCGCACGCACACACGCACGCCCACACGCACGCACACACACGGGATCATGTACACACGAGGCGCTTGATCACCCCTGTGCGTGCTCACAAACAACATGATCCAACGGCAATGGACAAGTACCCTATTAGAATACATTAGCCAACTGAGCATCCAGGAATGAGCCAACAGCGGTAATGTCAACAGAATATATTATTTTTACTGAAAGTATCCAGCTGGAACAGGGAATGAGTCTTGAAATAAACTGTCAATGAAATGACAGAAAGTGAAGCAATTCATCATCATGAAGGAGATCCGCAAGAGGAACAGGAAACCTAGAATGAATAACATTGTTTTTTGGGGGGGGGGGGTGTAAGGATTGCTACCAGCTCCATTGTTCCTAGAATGAATAACATTGTTTTTTTTGGAGTGGGGGGTGTGAGGATTGCTACCAGCTCCATTGTTTTGGAAGGATTCTAATGTGTACTGGAGGAGATCCGCCTAGCAGACTACAAATAAATTTCAGGAGGAAGGGCATTTCAAAAAGGAGATTAACTTACAATGTCTCAATAAACATGCAAAATGGTTTCTTTGCCGCAAAACAATGTTTTACTTGCCCGCCAAGCGCCTGGAAGTGGCCTGTCCAGATCGAGGGTGATCAATACAAGAAAAGGTGAGCGATTAGGTAATGGAATAAATGGAATATTGAAGCAATGAACAAGCAGAAGACAATTGAGGAGATGATGTAATGTCATGTACATGTGTGCGAGAAATGTTTCAGCAAAAGCGTGGCTGCGGAGATCAGGAGCCCTGGAGAAACGCTCTGTGAGAGAAGAGGGAGGGGGGTAGGTGAGAGCTGAGTGTTTTTCTTCCGTGTTATTGTTGCAGGGCAAGTTCAATGAAAGAGTGAGATGTTTTTGCATCAAAGAGACCACTTAGTATGGCTGTGGACACAGCGCGATGTGTTGAATTCTTTATTCTCGCGATGGCACCATCGCCAATAAGAGAGTGTTGGCGGCAGCGTTGCTAATTCTAGCAAACAAGAGGTGGAGCAGAGAGGAGAGGAAGTTTAGCACGGTGCTGCTAGACTCACATGCGGCTAGACTGACTGCTGGGTGACGCAGCTGCTGAGTGTTGCGGTGTCACAGACGTCGAGAGATCCAGCCACGGGTGTGGTACTGACTGTGTCGTCACATCTCTCACCGTTCTGGGTCACCGCGACCACCGACAGATCATTGAGGGAGCGTAGGACCTTTCCGGAGCTCGGTCGACACGCCCATGTGCTGTTCCAGCTGCTAACCATGATGGCGACGGCAGTCTTGTAGTGCTAACACATAGAAACAAAACGGTACACATCATCCAGCATAGCCTACAATACAAGGCCATGGAACTCGCACAACACATAGCGTATGTAACACACACAACAGGACACGCAATGCATGGCAAACAGACACCAAGATTCGCATTGTACACGTATGCAGCACAGATAATACAACGCACAACGCACGAAACGCAATAGTCGTTCGGCTCCACGTGGAGTTGAACGGATCATATCTTCCGGGGTCAGAGGCACCCACTGCACCACCTTACAGGAAAATTGGACCAAAATTGCCCCGGAGGCTTATGTCCTGACGTACCAATAATTCCTATAAGTGTTAGCTGCTCTGGTTAAATTAAGCAATCCTATTCATGGTACTGGTGGAGACGGAAGTTGGTTGCCGTCTACATTGCTGGTGGAGAGAGTATGTCTCCAGAGAACACTGCTACGCGGAAGAACTCGGCCACGGAGGCCAACGCCAATAGTTAATGGTGCAAGATAGTCTACATCCCGGAGGGGAGTGTGCTCTGAACCCAGGGACTAATGTATGGTGTATGGTATTTGGTGTATGGTGTGTGGTGGATGGCGATTGTCCTGTGTAACATGGGCTGAAACCAGAGGTGCAAAGCCTAAACAGTCGATAGGATCTCGTCAGCATGAAGAATGCTAAAGTTAGACCCAGAAGCCCTCTGCTAGCTACATGGCATAGGCCGGCTGATTTGTGGCCTGGCCAGGAACAAGGCGCTTCCCCCTAATTTCGTCATCACAGTGGGCTAAACCCCGGGACGAAGGCTGTAGATGCATGAGAACTACATTAAAGCCTGTATTTGCCGCACCCCGTCCCAAAAGAATCCTGTATTGACCGGGAAAATACTCATGCACCAAAGTACAGTCAACTTTGCGTATAACGACACTCGGACGGGCATCAGAAAAGTGTCCTTATTCGCGAAGTGTCGTTATACCCAAAGTCTTATTATATGTATACAGGTAGTATGGACTTTGCTCTGGGCATGGAAAGTCTGTCGTTATTCGCGAATTGTCGTTATATCCGCAGTCGTTATTAGCGAAGTTGACTGTATCGTAAGGGGTCGTCCACAAATATCGATGTTTTTTTAGAGAAGATATTCGTTCATTTGGGGGAGGGGGTTTGGTCCCTGTTTTGAAAAAAATATCGATCTCTAACTTTAGGCGGGCACTGTGCAAACATACAGTTGATGACCTACACAAAGTGAAAGTCAACCCCAAGAATACAGCCATGGCAAGGTTGAGAGACTGTGGCAATGTAAACCTAGGTGTATGGTGAATTTGGAGTTCCTTTTGGTCACGTTTCGCGAGGAGATCACACTTTGTTAAAAAATATCGATACCCTACATAAACGTGTGTATGTTCGTTTTGAGGGGGGAGGGAGGGGGTCCGGGGAGAAATGACCAAATATCGTCTTGAAAAAAATATAGATATTAAAAAATATATATATTTCGGCACCTATTCAATTTCGGCTATCTTTGGCACCGACCCACAACGCCAAATTTGAAACATGGCTGATGAAATTTTAAATGGAAACAAGGAAAACGGCGGGGCACAAGTTATGCGTTACAGTCCGCTAACTGCGTTACAGTCCGCTAACTGCGTTACAGTCCGCTAACTGCGTTACAGTCCGCTAACTGCGTTACAGTCCGCTAACTGCGTTACAGTCCGCTAACTGCGTTACAGTCCGCTAACTGCGTTACAGTCCGCTAACTGCGTTACAGTCCGCTAACTGCGTTACAGTCCGCTAACTGCGTTACAGTCCGCTAACTGCGTTACAGTCCGCTAACTAAACCAGACTTTGAGCAGTCAGTCAGACGTGCACAAGGCAGACTCTAACGCAGGCTCTACGTAGACTCTAACGCATGACTTGTGACCCGCCGTGTTCCTCGTTTCCATTTACCGCATTTCCCCGAATATAAGTCGCACCTTTTTACACTAAAAATCAAGGGTGAAAAGGGGGTGCAACTTACAATCGAGCATGACTTGCTACTGAAATCAATATATCAAAACAATGTGGCTCAAACCTGAACATGGGGATGCGACATATATTCGAGTGCGACTTATAATCGGGGAAATACGGTAGTATTTTCCTTGGCTCACCATCTGAGCACTTGATGAAATTTGCCGAAATTTTACAGTGCAGAGATATTCTATACTTTACTATACTGTGTGCATCAAACTTTCATCCGTGGAACAAGCGAGATTGTGTTATATCAGCACAGTCTCCACTGCAGCAAGAGCGTCCGGTCAGGGCAGGTTTTATATGTGACATACAACGTGCCCAGGCTTTACCAAAATAGCTGTTCCTCATCTCTTCCGATGTCGTGATTCAAGAAGAGCAATTGTACAAAACCCTTCCCGTGCAAACTTCATCTTCACCCTACCTCAGCTGCCATCCAGGCGTCATGGAGCGAAGGTCGCTGCTGACCACCCACCACGAGATCTCTCATCTCATTCATGCTGGGACAGTCCTCTACCAAGCTGCTGTAGGCTTGTGTGTAGCGTGATGGACCTGCAGAATAAAGAGCAAAGGTCTACCCTCGTTAATGCGACATCGTGGCTCTCTCTCTCTCTCTCTCTCTCTCTCTCTCTCTCTCTCTCTTTCTCTTTCTCACTTGATTTCCCTCCCTCCCTAGCTGCATTCCTATCGATGCCTGGTCGTAGGCCATGATTCCGAGACCTCCGGTCGGATGAGCCTCGCCAACCACATCGGCACATCGCCCCTACTCCCCTTTGTCTTGTTGTCCAGTGTCATTTCAGTTGTCCTCTTCCCCTGATTATTAGTTGGGCTGTGTTTTCTGGTTGAGAAGAAGTAGCGACGACCCGGCCATTATGGTATCCAATACACCACACCATCACATTGCGCTCTTGGCCGATCCAATTGTGTTTTCTAGTAAAAAAATAAATAAAATCGGTTACAAGACAAACCTCATTCGTAGACAACGATCCACAATCACCTGACGCCTGATATGCGTACCGTATTTTTCCGGTTGTAAGTCGACCTTTTAAAAGACTTAAAATAGAAGGAGAAAGGGTGGGGGTCGACTTACAACCAGGATTCGACTTATAACCGGGAACTATCAGTATCTTACAAAAATGACCTGCACTGTATGCACGAGTGCATCATATGTACACATTTTTGCCAGTTTATTGACCTTTTTCAAGGATTGGGACGTTATACCCTCCACTAAGGAATGTTTACATGATTTGTTGATGGGTTAGTAGCAGGGAGTGGTTAGCAGTTCTTCTTCGGGTGAAAACTTGAAAACGCAGAATTGAGACCTCCGAATACGGGGGTCGACCTATAACCGGGGTCGACTTACAACCGGTAAAATATGGTACATGCACGTCCGGATAGTCGATAATATTCGTTATATTACAGACAACAAAATTTGAATCCCCCGGGGTTGTCTGCTAGCGAGGGTAGACCTGTACTGGGTAAACTTTGCGATAAAATTGTGAAGTGATACCAAGGCCCTCCTCAGTAGCAGTCACTGGTGGCGCCCAATGTCGTGTTCTCTAGACTTTTCCTTGTTTTTGGGCCACGTGACCTGGTAGGTGGGCCCACAGCAGCCCATTTTATCATCATCAAACTGACAGCCATGCAGCATCTGCCTGGGCACACATCCTCTTTGCCTGAGCAACGATGCAATACTAAGCTTCGCCAGTTTCCTGTCTGAACAGTCCCCCCAATTTTCCCCTAAAACCACACATGTTATGTTGTGGACTTTGTAATCCGTTGAGAAGTCAAGCGGCCACGGGGCGCTGGCCTTGCATCTGAGGAGTCTGCACCAATGGATTACATCATTTCACACCCCCCCCCCTTCTCTCTCTCTCTCTCTCTCTCTCTCTCTCTCCTCTCTCCTCTCTCCTCTCTCCTCTCTCCTCTCTCCTCTCCCTCTCCCTCTCCTCTCCCTCTCTCCCTCTCTCCCCCCCTTCTTTCTCTCTCTCTCTCTCTCTCTCTCTCTCTCTCTCTCTCTCTCTCTCTCTCTCTCCTCTCTCCTCTCTCCTCTCTCCTCTCTCCTCTCTCCTCTCTCCTCTCTCCTCTCCTCTCCCTCTCCTCTCCCTCTCCTCTCCCTCTCTCTCTCTCTCTCTCTCTCTCTCTCTCTCTCTCTCTCTCTCTCTCTCTCTCTCTCTCTCTCTCTCTCTCTCTCTCTCTCTCTCTCCTCCCGCATCACAATACCAGTAGACACCCATACCCTTAGACGTTCACCCGTACACCCCCCTCCCCCCCCCCACACACACACTTCCGCACGCACTTACACACTCACGCACACTCGTAAACCGCACCTTCTCCCCATGCACAGACTAAACTCACTGTGTTTTCTCTCTCGCTCTCCCTCTCTTACCTGGTCCAACAGGGCACATGACAAGAATCTCCCACATGATCAGTGAGAAGCTGTAGATATCGGACGCCAGCAGGATATCAAAGTCTTCATACGCGTCCACCCACGTGGACAGCATCTCCGGCGAAGCATAGCGTGGACTGCCCACCACTGGGACAAAGTTGTACGTGCTCGGCTTGAACACATCTCCAAACTCGGATTTGCGTCTCTGTCGAAAATGTGAAAATCATACACAGTGGAATAAATGGTCAGGCAAAGCTTGCAGCAGATAATAGAGTGGTTGCGCACGACCAAACAAATTGTAAGATCTTGACCATCTGGGTCCGAGTAACGAAAGTTGCTATGAACATTAATTTTGTCCAAACGCGACCAAAACAGAGCGGATCTGCGAAACTATTTTCATGGCATGGAATACTCACCGTCAATCCAAGAGCGTGGCGTAGCTGCACCACAGCGTTGCCAAGATCTCCGATGCACGCCGAGCCGTCGGAGCGCATGAACACGTTGCTGGGGTTCAGGTGGCAGTGGGCGACGCGCGGCTTGATCGGCGAGTAGCGACGCTGCTGGCAGCTGGCACGCTCCTCCTCCTCGTGGAGATAGCAGAGCCCGGCGGCCACGTCGCGCATGATTCGCAGGCCTTGTTCAAGCTCCACTCCCCTGTGGTTCTGTACCGTATGACAGACATGCACAGTGAAAGGGTCTCTTAGGGCTCGTCCATAGGAATGACTTAGTTATCTATACTTTACACAAAAACGAAAAAAGTTTTGTTAATGGTTGGGTGGGTTGAGGCGAGTTTCGTTTGGAAAAATATAGATATCTGAAACATCAGTCCATTCTAGCAGTCATATCAATAACATATTTGTTCAGGAGGTGGGTGGCTGGTGGCTCAAAAGTGGAACCCAAGAACCCAAGAATGAAACAAATCAAGAAGCTGGTGGTTCAAATTTTCTAAAATCGTTAACGGTTTCCTTGCCAAAAGCAGGGCTAGCAAAGCACCATCCATCTTTGAGGTAGCAAGAAAGCCTTCGCCCCAACTGCAAAAGCATAGTCATCCCAACATTGTTAGACTTAGGAAGCACATTGCTCCCAGCATGGCACTCCTCTTGTCTGACATTGTGTGATTGTAAAGAAGTACAAGTCATGTACTTCAAGTAGAGTGAGAATGCTGCCTCACCAGCAAGTATCCATGCAGGCTGCCTCTTGCACAGTCCTCGTACACAATCCAGATGTCCTTTACAAAAGGTTTCACCTGCACATAGACACAGACGCATACACAGACACACGTATGTACAGACAGACAGAGAGACCGACAGACAGAGACCGACAGACAGAGAGACCGACGGACAGACAGACAGACAGATAGACAGACAAACAGACACACACCCATAAACACAAACACATACATATATGCACACACACACACACACACGCACACATGCACGTGCACACACATACACACACACGCACATATGCACACAAACACACATACACACACATACCTGCAACACTGTAAACAAAGTATGAATGGACTACGGTATGGCGGGATCAATCAAACACTGCTTCAGCCGGTCCTGAGCTTTATTGCTTCCACCGGTCCTGAGCTTTATTGCTTCCACCGGTCCTGAGCTTTATTGCCGAACAGTGGTAGATTACCTGAATTCCACCTTCCAAAAACTTGACCACATTCGAGTGTCTCAGACTAAACAGCTGTAAAACACACATGTGCACACACACACACATACATACACACACATACATACACACACACACACACACACACAAACATACACACACACACACACACATACACACACACACACACACACACACACACACATACATACATACATACACACACATACACACACGTACACACATACACACACACACACACACACAAACACACACACACGTACACACATACACATACACACACACATACACACACACACACGTACACACACACACACACACACACACATATACACACACACACACAAACACACACACACACACACGTGCACACATACATACACACACATGCACACATGTACACACAAACACGTACACACACACACGTGCACACACACACACGTGCATACACACACGTACACACACACATAGGTCTGATCACAGAACACCATGTCATGCAAAGCCCACCATCCGAAGCATAACACAGAAACCCATCCATAATGCAAGCATAGGACACCATAAGATGCTGAACAGACCAGGGACTGCATGACTCAACCAACATGTGTTTCCTCTTCAAGGAACAACCTTGCATTCATGTAACGTTGGTAGAGGTTGTGGAAATTTCAGGAAGTGCATTTTCTCATTTTTGTTCTTTTTCGATCTGCACTGCAGCATCAATGACTTTTACCGCATTTTGCAGAAGAACACAAACTTCAGGCATCACTTTGACTGGGATGTATCGCATTTTTACCCGTAAAACCGACACACAGACGTCCGTGGGGTGAAAACGAATTCTTTCGTGACAAAAACGCAAAAAGCTCCGGTTTGGTCTTTATCGCGTTTTGAATTGGAGCCCTTCATGTGTTGGATGTCAATTTACAACACGGTACCTTAGATATGCATACACTACTCTCCTATACCTCCACCTCACCTTGCCTAAAAACACACATGCACACGCATGCGGGCGCACATCCCCCCCCCCCCCCCACACACACACAAACGTACACCTACACATGTCGTCATTCGTACTCACATCATAGAGCAGGCATTCGTGCACCCAGTAGCGGGCGTTGAGCATGCCACCGTCATAGATTCTAACCATGGCGCGCTCTGCTGCCAGGCGTGTGTCTGGCGGCTGCCACTGGCAGTCACAGATAGCAGAGAACGCTCCCTCAGTGCAGCGACTCTGAATGTTCACACGGCTGGCGAGTGGAGATCGATTGCTCTACACACAAGAAAATGCAGAGATAGTGGTAATAAGAAAACTCAAATCAAGTTTTGAAAAAATTAGGAGAGAATTTCATTCTAGAGATGGCTTGTATAAGGTGGCAGCTCTCTAACTGAGCGAGGGGGAAGGGGAGGGCTTCAAATCGGGGTCACACGCTGTATATGACCCTGAGCTATCCATCTGCCCCCTCCCCTCCCATTATACTGTACGCAATGACAACTGGATACGGTGAAACCTGTCAAGGCAATCACTCTCCTCAGGCAAGCACCTGCGCCCAAGGATCACAACTGCAACCAAAAACAAGGATTGTTATTTCTAGCCATGTGACCCTGGATAAGGAGATCACCTATGCCCAAAGACCACCTGTACCCAAAGACCACCTGTACCCAAAGACCACCTGTACCCAAAGACCACCTGTACCCAAAGACCACCTGTCCCCAAAGACCACCTGTTCCCAAAGACCACCTGCACACAGAGACCACCTAAACACATACACCACGTGTATATAGATACCAATTGTACACATAATAGAACCAAGAGTACATAACACCCCAGAGTGTGCAACGCCTGATCCAGCTCTGCATGGGGTCTTGGTCGAGCGGAATCGGATCTTCTGATGTCATGCGTACACTCCACACCAGTGCAAGGCCGGTCTCGAGGCAGGGCACCATTGTCTTTGATCTAAGAAGACCCGCGACTCCCCGGGTTCCCCTCAGATGTGTACCGTATTATGACGCAAAGATCCAATTACGCTCGACCAAGACCTTATGCAGAGCTGGATCAGGCGTTGCACACTCTTGATAGAACGCATTGGGAAAATCACTTCAGTTATCTGAGTAGACATGTTCACCTGTTAATGGCACTCAAGCCATCGTGGGTGATACATGTCTTACATTCCCAACTAGGGTATGAGCGACCAGGCATCGACTACTCACCAGAAAGTTGAGATAGTTCCTGGGACTGAACATGTCCAGCGTATCCATCATCACGTCACATGACCTAGCCAGGTCGTGATTGGCTCGTCTTGCTGCGTTGCCACGGTAGCTGCCCACCAGGTAGGCACTCCAGGATGAGCAGACGAGGCAGACGCACAGGCAGCAGATGACCGTGATCAGGGTGGACGTCGACCAGGAGGGGGATTTCCCAGGACGCAGGCCGCTGGGAGCTGGAGTGATGGTCGCTAGACCATCTCCCGTCATGTACTGGACAGTGACGTTCTTGGCAATGCCCAGCCGAAGGTAACGGTCATAGGTGGCCTTAGTACAGGCATTGCTATCATTGCTGCATCTCCGAATTGTTTTCCAGTCGTCCTCTTCCCACGACATAAACTTCTGAAGTGCCTCATTCTTGTCATAAGCTGCATATGGAAAAGCACAACAAACGTACACAAAAATGACTTTTGTACATGGATATACTCTTGTGGACATGGAAATCCAGTCCCCCCCCCCCCCCACACACACACACATACATACACACGCAAGTTCCTTCCTTCTTCCACTGCCATGACTGGCTACTTGACCCCGTAAGGGGCAGACCAGGAGGCATATTGTCCACAGGGTGGGGAACGTCAGGCTCAGCACCCGCGGGCTGCGCGAATAGCGTTGCCTTTATGCCTTGCAGCCCCCCCCCCCCCCCCACACACACACAAACACATCTCACCTGCTTGTCCTTGCCCAACCAGAGGTGTATAGGCGTGGTTGACATTCCAGCGCCAGAAGGTCGGTGAGCACTCATGCACGTGAAACAGTCGAGTAGCGTTGTACCGATCGGTGCACAGCTCCATTCCACCGCAGTGTGCGGCCGCCTCAAGAACCGTACTGCTGCTGCGATAGTCATCGGGGTGCTTCAGCAGCGTAGCATTTACCCACACGGTGAAGCTTGGCTCGTGTTTGTCGTTGGTGAAGGTAATGTGAGGGTCCTTGTTGCAGCCTGCCTGCCAGAGGCACGTGCCGTTACGTGGGTTGCCAGTGATCCGCCACTGATGCCAACACACCTTACCGTGGCACCAGTTAGGACCGTCGCAGTCCGCCGCGCCCAGCGTGCAAGAGCATTTCTGCATCGCGTCGACTCGTTGGCCCAGCAGCAGCAGCATCACCACCATCGTCCTTGCAATCAGCAAGGCTCTTGCCGAAGGCAGGGTGACTGAGGATAAAACGGAAGAGAAGAGAAGTGAAGAGGAGAGGAGAGACAAGAAGACGAGAGGAGAGGAGAGGAGAGAAGGGTAGCCAAGAGAAGAGAAGGACAGTGAGTGTCTGCAGTGTATGTAGTGTAATGATAATCAGGGCGTAGCTGGTCCCCTTTCACGAGTCTGCACGGCTGCATGTGTGTAGGACGGCTGGTGCATATTCATTCATGGCCATTATGTGCGTGCTGAACCCAGGTCGAAATTCTTTGAGGGATGCACATGCCCCCTCAGTGCCCCAATTGAGCTACGCGCCTGAGTGTATGCATGGTTAGGGTATGCATGGTTAGCAGGCGCGTGCCCCGTATGGGTTCCTGGGTGCCCGGAACACCCCCTCCCCCCCTGTTTTCGCTCAAAATGTAGGAGTTTGCTTCATTTTTTGGAAATTTTCCCGGGGGAGGCCCCGGACCCCCCCCCCCCCTTGAAGGGCACCGGCGCATGCGCCTGGTTAGGGTATGCATATCGCGTAGCCTGCCAGTCCCCTAGTGCACTCATATCACTGCTATGCAAGCCGGTTGGGACCGGGCACTGCCCGTAAACTTGGAAATGTCTGTAACTCCGTATCACCTACGTTTTGATGGGGAAGAGCCAGACATTTGTTATATGACATCCCTATTTCCACACTAATTATTGGCAAGAGAGTACTGTAGATCAACACATTTTTGGCCGGTGAGAAACTTTGGCCGTGAACAAACTTTAGCCGATTGGGTTTCAATCATGCATCATCTTTTGCCTCTATGACAAACTTTGGTCGGTTGGCAACAAGTGGCGAAATCAGCGAAATTTAATCGCCAGCGACAATTTGTTGGTTCACAGTAGTGAAATGTCCTCAAAACTCCGCACAGGGTGCCCGGGAAGACGGAGGTGCCCGTAACTTGGAGGTCCGGATAAGAGAGAGATATGAATGTGTAAGCTAAAACGGTTATGCAACTGATGTCATGGTGCCAAACTACTGCACTGTAATTGGGGATTGGCTTATGGGGATGGCCATACATCGCAAGTCGGAGAATTCACTTATGGGGATGAGCATACAGCGCAAGCCGGATGATTCAATTATGGGGATGGATACATCGCAAGTTGGCGGATTCGATTCTGGGGGTTATGTGTAGAGCGAGAGTTGGCGGCTTCACTCAACTAGCTAGTGACTCTGCCGCTCCATACGAAGCATCTAAACGGATGACGTAATCGCACCACCTCTTTACTCATCATGTCATGTCGTTACAGTCGGACAGCAACAGAGACAACAAGCTGGGTTTAGTCACTCTAGTGTTCAATTGCTAGCAAACGAGTCGTCAATAGTTTTTTTGGAACCTCAAAACAGCAAGCCGACCAACGCTTCCTCCTGACACTGGCCTTTTTGAAAAATTAATAGTAAAATACCCTCACCATAAATGTTTTTCTTCAACGAATGACTTACTTCGTCTGCTGGATACCGCTGGTTCGGTACGCTGCATGCTCGGTCGTGCAGGCGGCTGGCGGGTTGCTTGCTCCAACGGTTGGGAGGAACTATAGCCTCTCCGACGCCTTTCCTTTTCCGGAGACGGGAGAAGCGAGCCAGGCGAATGCGGAATGTTGAGACGAACTCCTCTAGGCTTTATCTCCGACAAGGCACGTGTTTCCTCTTCAACGTTCAAGGAACAACCTTGCATTCCCGTAACGTTGGCGGAGGTTTTTGGGTAGCAAGTCGAAACACGTTTGGCACGGGAGACACAAGCTGTGCTGGACACACTGTAATCGGAACAGCAAAGACCTGCCGCTGCGTTGCGGACACAAACCTAGCGAGCTAATTTCAGACACACCTCTAGCAGACTACAGATGAGACGGAAGCCATCACGCCTCTCGCACACGAGGAAACTGCTCGAATGACCTGTCCGCGTGGAAGAACTTCGAGAAAAGTTTCCACTTGGCGACTGAGTCTGTATTCGTTATCCGCCATACACCCCACGGGGCCCGGTAGAAGCGCAAGGCTACATCGACATGGATGGCGTACAAACTACCGGTGCATGTAGCTTCGCAGCTCGCGTCGAGCCGTTTTCGCTGCTTTTCAGACAAAACATCGCACTCGAGCTGAACAGACACTGAGTGTACAAGGCGTGAGAAAAAACTCCGCTGTCTGGTGGAGAGGTAAAATAATATTTATGGTGAAGGCAGCAGCGGTACACAAGGGACTTGGCCTTGTAGGGCTACTCAGAGTATTAGTCGGCCTAGAGTCAAGAGTAGTGAAGTCTCGGAGTCGAAAGTGTGACCCGGTGACGGTACTCATTGTAGGTGTGACGGTCAGTGACTGGCAGTAATCTTCAAAGCCGCTAAGATGGTCATATGTCCACAGTGTGACTTCCCGTACATATATGCCTATGCCTTGGCTATGGCTATGCCTTGGCTATGGCTTGCGTACTGTGGCCCCGCCTGTCCGTGCTAGACAGACAGTAGCTGCAGCGAGTGCGAAAATCCGCCCACCTCATCGGAGCAGGACAGAGCAGCCTTTTTACTTCGCTCAGCTGCTATTCATAGCGTTGGATTTCATTTGGATACCGATCAACCCTGCCTAAGGCGACATGATCGAGTTCTTTGCTGCTTTGAAGTTTGGTGTTTCGTGCGGGCAAAAACCAGAAACATGGAGTCCGAAACTCCTGCTCGCTACGGATCGGGGCACAAGGCCGTGCGCTACGGTAGAACAGCCGCGAACCCAAGGCAAGGGCAACGAGCGGTTGATCGTCGCCAGACACTCCTGGAAAAATAATAAACAGCAAACACTGAAACAGTACAGAATAGTGGACCCACAACGGCACAAGCAGATCTCATTGCGAGTCTTCGGATGTTCCTAAAATAGGCGGAACGTCGTAGTTCTCCGCCAAGTAACAGTTGAAGTAAGTTTGGTTTGGTTTACATGAATTTTCAGTTCGTTGCCTCAACAGTACAAAGTACAAACAAAGTAAGCGACAACCTGTTGCGCCTGTGCACCTGACCTAGTACTTAGTAGACTACCTAGACTGGCCGTGAGCGTCTAGTGATTGCTAGGCACTCACTCAGTCTCTAGTTGTAGATCTTGGCCGTCTTCAACAGTCGACTAGTCACTTCACTGCACCCTCTTCGCCCATGCCAGCAGCTAGCAGTAGCAGAGCGAGTTCCTGATCTGAGAGCGGGCGAGGACCTGCGGCGCATCGGGCATCAGCGTCGGAGCGAGGTGTGCTCCCACACCACAAAAGTCATAGCATTCAACACCAGGCAGGAACATTTCCGGCACCAGTGTGTAGCGGGCGTAGCTCGAGATCCAGAAACACAAAGACTGAAAGAGTAAAACACCCAGTGCAGATCTATTGACTGTACAAATAGATATCCCTCAAACTTACTTGAATGCCGTGTAGTGGAGTGAGCAGTGTTTCTTTCGGAGTTGTTTTCCCCAGTCCAACGCCAAGATCGCTACAATCTTGCTACCATCGCTTCAGGCTACTAGCAATGTTGGTGGGGAGGAAAAGCAGTAGATCTACGCAGTCGTACATCTCTGCCCGTTCGTTCGATCCCCCTTCCCTCCGCAGACGTGGGAACAAGAATGTGCAAAGCGAGGCCGGAGCTGCAGGGAAAATGAGGATATCCTGGGAGACACCGAGAATGGCACTCCTGCAGCAAGCAGCCTTGCAAGACGTTCCCATCGGATCACACCATTCTCTGTTTGGCGGAACGGAGCGGAGCGCAGCCTCAAAAGCATTGGATAATGGTGGAAATGTCCTTGCCTTTGACAACCTCGATACTCGTCTTTCCCGTCGCCCTCTACAAGGAGCCACACTGTTGCCTCGTTTATTCGATTTGTCTTGGGTATTCGCTCGAACGCCCGTGTTGGTGTTCTGTGTTCTGATGAGCCTCACCGCGGAGACTCGATACACCAAGTCACGCTCAAGTTTCGGATCGTGGAGAAGCAATGACGGTCACCTACGCACCACTGAGTACTACGGACGGCATAGTGCAAGCCACGGTCGCGCCAGCGCCGGCGACGACCCCGCTGCTCGTAGGTATAGCCATCCTGAGCTTCAGCATTATACCCATTGCGGCGTCGGTATACCGTCTGGCTTTCAAATTCGCGTGCGGACCACGCTGTGCTGTATCAGCTAAGGTCTGCGCTCCACACGCTGATGATGAGGCAAATGGCCACCAACTGGCAGATGAAAACGAGAGTGACAGAGACACTCTGACCTTCCTAGTAAGTGCAGTGAACACTGAGCAGTGTATTGTGTTAATTTTTATCACTCCCTTAAATTAATATTGACTCTCATAGATTTTTGCTATACCTAAGCAGTCAAATATTCCTGCATATTTCACTCCTTAGCGCTGTATTGACTGCTTATATTTGACTCCTTTTTAGGGACTGAACACATGCTTTGGTTAGTCGTGATAAATCTAATATTGACTTCGTACTTGGTCAGTATAGGAAATAAAAACCTCGTAAAAGATTCTCCTCGGTCTTTTACTCGGCTTGTATTTCCTATAACCTCGTACCCCTATAACCTCGTACTCAGTCAATATTAGATACGTATTGTATTCTTCCACATGTACGCTCATACCTCGGTTATCCGACACGGAAGTAACTATGAGCACTTTGGTCCACCTGGCACCCTTTGGGTGAGTTCCAGTGGAAATATTACTATTCTTCTGTCACTTCTTGGGGAAAGAGTGACGTCACGGGCCATATTTGTGGCCTTTCCCCATCAAAAGGTACTAATTTTGATTCGGAGTTACGGACATTTCAAAGTTATCGGCAGTGCCCGGTCCCAGATTGCCCGGATAAATGAGGTGTGAGTGGATTTGAATTCGCAAGTACAGACGGATGACAAGCCCTGTTGGGGTGGGAAATGTTTCGTGCGAAAATCATTAATCATTCTATTGCATTCAGGGAATGCAAGGTTTTTCCTTGAAGAGGAAACACATGCTTTGTTGGAGATATGGTTTCGTGCTGTGTACTTTCTCGTAGACAAGTCCACGCAGGCTGCCTGGTCGCATAACCGTGCACGGCAAGTACGCCGAGGGTGCTCTTGCCGGGTTCCGGTTCTGCACCTGGAGGGATGCGAGGTCCAGTAGTGACGTCAGTACAGCAGCCGTGATGAAGACGTTCAATGAGGGACTGCTCCACGCCAAAGATTGGCTTCACGAGATCTTGATGTACAATGTAAGTTCTCAAACGTTTTCTTTTCTTTCTTTTTCCGTTCTCTACTTTTCCACAATATCCTTCAATATTTTATTCACAGTGGGTCCAATGCTATTAGGCATATGCCTGTTTTGATTTCCACTATAAATAAAGTATGCAACAACCAGTTTAGTCTTTGTGCAGGACTGGCGGAAGCATTTTTAGATTGGTCCGGCCATGCCCTAGCTGTTCATACAGTTTGTGTATGATATGGAGGATCATGATACACATGACTTTCATACAGTTTGTGTATGATATGGAGGGTAGTCACATGACTTTCATACAGTTTGTGTATGATATGGAGGGTAGTCACATGACTTTCATACAGTTTGTGTATGATGCGGCAACTAGTTTTGTGGAATTTGTTCCTGTATCTATTGCAAAAGTCCGGAAGCTTCTAGAGCAACAGAATCCGACGAAGGCAACTGGCAGTGACGGCATCCCTGCAGCCCTTCTTCGAGCTCATGCAGATGTTCTTGCGCCGTCATTGGCCTTACTGTTCAACAAATCCATGAGGGAGGGACATTTCCCAGCTCCTATGAAGGTGGCCAGCATTTCACCTCTGTTTAAAGGTGGTGATCCCAGCATAGCAAAGAATCACAGACCCGTGTCTCTAATGTCGATAGTTTCTAAGCTTTTGGAGCGAGTCATCCATGATCAGCTCACTCAGTACTTGTGCCGACATGATCTATTTCCACCAACTCAGTTCGGCTATCGTTCACATCATTCCACATGTGATGCCCTTGTATTAGCCGTTGAGGGCATATGCCAAGCCCAGACAAAAAAGTACTTCACGGGGATTGCTTTCGTAGATATGTCAAAAGCATTTGATAAGGTGAAGCACCAAACCCTTATTCAGGACCTATTCGAGGTCGGAATTGGTGGAACGGTGCTGCAATGGCTTGCAGACTACCTCTCAGATCGGACACAGTATGTCAAAGTTGGTCAGGTACAGAGCTCACCATACACCAGCTTCTCCGGAGTACCACAGGGGTCAGTTCTCGGGCCCCTGTTGTTTGTTCTCTACGTCCGTGACATTGCGAAAGAGCTGTCCCCTTACAATGTTGCGACCCTGCAATTTGCGGACGATATCTCAATTAGATCCAGCAGCATGAGCATGGATGAGGTGTCCCAAAATCTCTCAAGTGCTGTCCAGCACCTCGCCGATTGGCTTAGGAACCGCGGTCTCATCTTGAATGAAAAGAAGACACAGATCATGTCGATATCGCCAGTACGATCTCAAACATTTGACTTGCAAGTGCAATGTAATGGACTGCCTCTGCCAACTGTTCGCTCTGCGAAATATTTAGGTCTCCACTTTGATGCGGACATGAGCTGGAACACCATGGTCGACCACGTCGCACGGGGCGTCGCGTCGAAAGTTGGCGTGCTCAGACGATACGCTACGTTCCTGCCCTTTCAATGTCGCATAGCCTATTTTCGTTCTTTCATTTTATCACACTTTATGTATGCCGCTTCTGCTTACTTACCATTTCTCACGGCGTATCAAAGTCGACGGCTTAATGGGCTCTTCAAGCGTGCTGTACGCACAGTCTGTCGGGTACCTCCCGGGACACCCACAAGCAATATTCTTACACGCATGAACATCCAAACATTGACCACATACACCAACATGCACCTTCTGGTTTTTATCTGGCGTTGTCTCCATGACTCCTCTAACATCAGCATGTTGTTCGCTAACTTTTTCAGCCGCAGTAATTCCACTCAAACTCGTGGTGGGCACAGCAATTTACTGATTGTCCCAGCCAGCCCAACTGCATATCTTGCCAAACGTGTTACCTATGCTGGGACCATCTTATGGAACCAGCTCCCCGCTGCGGTCAGGCAAGAAAGAAAACGCAATCGCTTTAAGTCAATGGCTCTTGCCTTTTTGCTTACCAGATAAATACATGTAAGTCTTTTTACAAA